ATATATATATATATTGTATGTATTTAATCTGTGTATTTAGCTGGAGATCAGCTTTAAAGAAACACCATCCATTTTTCTTTTAAAGCCAAATTATCATCATATTTTAGGGAATACACATTTAAAAGGTTATTCACAAAGGAACCGAAGGATTAAGCCGATGCATCGGCTAATCCTTCGGCTCACTTTGCTTCGGCAGCTTAGTGAATAACCCCCTTATTATTAGTTAGTTATTATTCAGGTGTTTATGTGAAAGTCATTTTTGATGCCGCATTCCCAGTTTTACTTTTTCGTTATCATATGATACAAGACTGTACTGTATTTTTTATTATTATGTTACATAAAAGGATTTGTAGATTCTCCTTTTAGCGGGTGTCTGTATATCAGTCATGAAGTCAGCACCTTTGCTGAATATCTGTTGAGCTAAAGGATAAGCCAACTAGAGAATGTATTGTGTCTGCATGAAGTGTTCTTTGTAAAACGCAGGAAGATTAGGGCTTATAAACTATAGAAGAGCATTCTCAAACAAAAATCATAAACTAGCCAATGGCCCCAAAGAAGTAGTAAGAGGCCCAACAGACTTTAGCTGATCTCTGCCCCCTAACATTATAAGTGTTAGACTCAGACAAAGTAAGGGGGCAAATTTCAACTTTCATAAGTAAGATTGCAGAAGCCTACTAACTTAGGACTGGAAGTTCAGATTCTTGCAGAACCCCAGTTGGGACGGGTTCCTTCATTCAAAGTTTGGTCCTTACTCTGAACCTATAGTGTGAAAATGTAGTCCATTGCCCAATTGTACCCCAACGTGGTTCTTTTGTTTAAATGGCATTGTGGATACATCCATTAACAGTTTTTTTCTGGTCTTTTTTATTTTCAGAGGTCCCCAAGATATGCAGGATGGAGGTGGAGCCAGGACCTTGCCGAGGCTATATAAAGCGTTATGCTTACAACTTGTTGACAATGAAGTGTGAGCTGTTCATATACGGTGGCTGCTATGGCAATGATAATAACTTTGGAAATGAGGCTTCCTGTCTGGAGTCATGCTCACCCAAGAGGAGTAAGTAGTGTCATTTATTGCACAATGCCAATAAACTAACAGTGAAGAGCAGACCAGACCCATGTCATATAACAATGTCAGCCTAATTCCATGAAGAGGTCTTACTCATGTGCTACTGCTTAAGTAAGCCATAGCAGCCAATCAGAATTCAGTCCACTGAAGTCACACCAGTACAAGGTGGATTTAGGATTAGCTGCTATGGGTTGCTGATCTTAAAGCCCAATTGAACCTTCAGTTTAAACCAGCCAATTACATTCTTAGGTACGTTAAAACAAAGTGTGTTCAGTGTCTTATATTTAGTCTTCTCTCTAAAGCAGCCACAGCCACAGAGTGCAAAAGCCCGACTCCTTCCAGCAGCTGCAGATTGGGACCCTTACTCTCTATAAGGAAACATTGAGCTCTCTGCAGAGAACCAACACATCCCCCACTGAGTCAGAGTTATAGATTAGCAATCAGCAAAGCCTGAGCTCCCCGTTGAGTTTTGAGACACATGCCCTATGGAGTTGGACATATAGATTAGATATAATCAAAGCTTATGCTTCTTTGGAGAGCTATGATCCTTAATCAGTGAGGGGGGGGGGGGGGTCAAACCTCCATAGAAAGACCACTGCTTCCACACAGAGTGTAAGGGCTTTTCTACTCAGGCTGTGGCTTCTTTAGAAATAAAACAAACTGTAAGACTTTGCACACCTTTTGTTTTGATGTATTCAGGGTGTATTTAGCTGATTAAACCAAGGGTTCCATTGGGCTTTAAGCATTAGCACCTAAGTATAATATTGAATAATGCTGAATGCAACTTAAAGTACACATACAAGGGGCAATGCACTCAACAAGATTAGCCTGTTTTAGACTGTATCTAAACAATGAATGGCTGTAATGTCGGTACAACTTCCCACACCCTGGCCACTTTTATGATGCCTCTGCGTGTCAGTAAAACTTGGGAACAGTATAACCTTTAAAATGGGGGGGGGGGGGGGGGGTGTCAAACCTCCATAGAAAGACCACTGCTTCCACACAGAGTGTAAGGGTCTTTCTACTCAGGCTGTGGCTTCTTTAGAAATAAAACAAACTGTAAGACTTTGCACACCTTTTGTTTTGATGTATTCAGGGTGTATTTAGCTGATTAAACCAAGGGTTCCATTGGGCTTTAAGCATTAGCACCTAAGTATAATATTGAATAATGCTGAATGCAACTTAAAGTACACATACAAGGGGCAATGCACTCAACAAGATTAGCCTGTTTTAGACTGTATCTAAACAATGAATGGCTGTAATGTCGGTACAACTTCCCACACCCTGGCCACTTTTATGATGCCTCTGCGTGTCAGTAAAACTCTTCACTCCCTGGCCACTTGTATGAGGCCTCTGCATGTCAATTAAACTCCTCACACCCTGGCCACTTTTATGATGCCTCCGCATGTCAGTTAAACTCTGCACACCCTGGCCACTTTTATGATGCCTCCGCCTCCGCATAAAAGAAATAATGCTTTTACTTCCAGTGAACAACAAAAAAACTCCAGCCAGAGATAAGGAGGAGTGGTGGGGTGTTCTGTAGTCCTAATACATTTCCAGTCCTAGGGTGACAATGCTGCTCCTCCATAAATACTGTGCACTGAGTGAGCGTTGTCACCCTAGGGCAGGAAGTGTGTTGCTGTTTACAAGTAGTGCAAAGACAGACAGGAAGCGGAACGGTGGAACAGATCCTACACTGCAGCAGAAAAATAGTTGAAAGCAACTATAGAACACACAGGTGGGTCATCTTACTTTACAGATCCACCAGCCCTGAAATTTTCCTAACCTGTATTTAAAAAAACAAAACCTTCCTAAAATATATGGAAGCCCAGTACAGGGATAAAATACAAAAACAAGCAATTTTTATATTTTTTTTACTGTTTATGGAGAGAACTTTAAACTTTTCAGCTGGTGCTTTGTACCCTAGGATAGCTGTCTCTAGCCTTCTTCGGCCTTGTGGTGGCGCTCTTGCTGTCTTTTCCTCCTTTTGTTTCCTGTGTGATTATATATTGTATATTCTAAACATGCTAATAAGTGAGGCAGAAAAGCGGTATGAGGGTTCAACATGAGGGTTCAACGGCTCTGCCCTTTTCTTCCAGACCTTTGAAAGTAACAGACTTTGTATTATCACATCGACAAGGTCACTGGACTCCCATCAGCTGACATTAGACTGTGTACATAGGGCTGTGTTGAAACATCTTGCCGGTGCTAAGATTTGTCATGATTAGTACGTGGCTGAACAAGCATTACTCAGATACCTGTCACTGACACATTCACAGATGAGTGGCAGATAAGATTTGTGTACAGGTGACCTCATCTCAAAGAACCACCTGAAGGCAATACAGGCACGGGTTAGACAAGAAATATTGTAGCAATGACCCCCTAAGGGCTGCTAGATTTTTGCGGGTTTTCCTGGCTTCCTATTGTCTTCCCTGTAGCTGTATTCACCAACCCATTAACAGACACAGGCAGACAGAGACTTATTTGCGTTGTTGTCTTAAGGGGAGAAGATTAGGGGTACAGGACACCCAAAAATAGCAGAACAAAATACACTCAGTAGTATTTTGTACTATCTTTTCACCTTGCCACAGCTCAGGTTAAAACTGTTCATGCCACAGGCCAATGCAGATTCTGTAGGTCCAGATGAACTATCATTCGGCTTCCTCGGCCTATGTCATAGGCCAGGTTAGGATTCTTAAGACTTCCCTCCCAGACCCGTTTAGGACTCTTGGGACCTCTATCGCAGGCCAGGTTAGGAGTCTAAAGACCTCTCTCCCAGGCCCGGTTTGGATTCTTGATATCTCTCTCCCAGGCCCATTTAGGACTCTTGAGACCTCTATAGCAGGCCAGGTTAGGATTTTTAAGAACTCTCTCCCAAGCCCGTTTAGGATTCTTGAGATCTCTCTCACTGGCCAGTTTAAGATACTCTAGACCCAGACAGGAAACTGGAAAACATGTTCTCTCTTGTTGGCTCTTGCTTCCTCCTCCAAGGGCCTGGGAGGTAAAGACTGAACCTCTCTACAACTTCACCTTCACCTTACAGCATGGCTGGGAGCCAAGGACCTCTGGACCTACATTGTCTCCAGGCAAAGCCTAGGAGGCAAAGACCCTGCTAGCAAGTCACCCCAAATATTTATCTTTTCCCCCAGCCCACATGACTAGCACATACCCGTCAGTGATCAACCAGGGTAGAATAAATATTCATAACCCGATACATTGTATCTTCTCACGCTACATACTGGAGATTACCCAACAGTAGCAGCCAGAAGCAAACAATGTTTTGGGGCTTTGGGGATACCCAATTAGTCCATATAATATAAACAAAGCTAAGGTTATCTACGGCCTAGCAGCAAACACTAGATTTAGCCTAGGGACACTCCGCCTTATGGCAGGGTTCCTACATTACAATGCAAGAAGACAGAAATAATATTGTGCAGTGGCAGTACCAGCTACCAATCAGATTTCGATTTACTGCTGACAGTTCAGTTAAGCAATGATTTCTGATTGGTCACTATGTGTTACTGTCCAACGTGTATCAAAATGTAATATTTCACCGTCTATCAAGTCATTCCCAGTGCTCCCAGTTGGTGGGAGTGAGACAGTAGTGACAGAAATAGGTTTGCTAACTTGCTTGATTAATATTCCAATCTAGTGACTGTTCTTGGCTGTAAGCTGCTTAGATGTGTCTGTAGGCATCAGATCACCATCTCCCAGTCTGGCTTAAACTATCTAAAATCTACAGGCATCATCAGCGAACAAATAGTGAACAGAGGGATAGTGAACAGAGGGATAAAGAAAACTTTGTTTTTTCCCTGATAAGCGGGCCGGAAGTATCTGTAGTGCACCTACCTCACTCTGCTCAGGGAAAGTAAGGCCTCACCAACACAATGAAACGAAATCATAAAGGGACACATAGGAGTCTATTTTGGCAATAGGTCTCCTCCCCTAGAGGCCCATACCCACTGTATGTTCTTCCCATGATGCCCTGCACTTGCTGGGATGATTTACTAAAGGCAAATAGGCTTTTCACTTTGCAATGGAATTTGCACTTTGCAGGGGAAGTTTCCCTTAGCTTGATGAATGTGGTAAAATGTCACATTGATAAGAATACCCAATCGTGTGCAAGGAAAAACAATATTTTGCTTGTACGTGATTGGGTGATGGAAGTCAGCAGAGCTTCACTTCATTCACTAAACCAGTGGTTCTCAACCTGTGTAACCTCAAGACCCACATTTTGTCCTTGCTCATTAAGTCGTGACCCAAGTTGCACTGCAATGGAATGCAGTGTGGGCTGCTGTGCAGTGACTGAGCTCCATCTATATGTGCATCCACTTGTACAGCTTCCTTGCATGCCCTGTACAGGTGCCAGGAGCCAGAATGTGATGTCACTCCAGTCCAGGCACCTCTACAGGACAGGTGAGGGAGCTGTAAGCAATGCATGTATTGATGGAGGTCCCTTGCGGCCATACCCCCACCCCACCTCAAGCTGACACTCAGCACCGGGCAGCATATTTTGAATGGCTGCTTGGCGCGAGAACTGACAGTCCTGCGCTAGGGGGAGGCTGAGGAACCTCTCACCTATAAAAGTGGAAGGCACATGGGGACCCACTAAACACGGTGTCGCGACCCACTTTTGGGTCACGACCCACCAGTTGAGAACCAAGGCACTAAACTAAGCAAAGTGTGAATTCCCGTCCAAAGGGAGCAGGCTATTTGCCCTTAGTAAATCAACCCCACAGTATCTCCCCAGTTATCGGGGTTGAATGACGCTGGGCATTATTCAAACTAGAAGACTGAGGACACCTTGTGGTAAAAAATAAATATGGCAGGGTGGCAGCTTTAGACTGATGGTGAGTATTGCAGCCCAAGCTGAATTTTTATTTTTATTTACATTTTCTTAATTTTTTGTGTGCAGATAAAGGTGGTGCATTATAGTGTTGCAATGGATGGTAAAAAAACAATACTTTACTGTTTAAAAAATACACACGGGACATTAATTCCAGATCAGCAGAATGTCATAATGCTACAAATCAGCAAAATTATTTTGTGTCTTGTCAGCCTCCCTTACAAATGTTAGTGTTATGCTTTTTTTCAATGCCCGGCATTATAGAGGATGTCTGGTTTTGTATTTGTAGATGCTCCCAGCTTCTGCTATAGCCCCAAGGATGAGGGGTCATGCTCTGCTTCTGTCTCCCGCTATTATTTCAACATTGAGAACAAGTCATGTGAAGAGTTTCAGTACACAGGTTGTGCAGGAAACTCCAACAACTTTATCAGGCTGGAGGACTGTATTAATGTGTGCAAGAAAGGTGTGTGTGAAGACTTGGCTACTATTGAGTGACAAATGTTCACAAAGGGGCAGGAAAATGTAGAAAATAACTTGGTTTTATACTAAACACTTGATGCTTTGACTTATCTCCGCTGCAAGGCCCATGAGTGCCTCTATATCTACTTTGTATA